GTTTCTACAATTGTTACAATAAGCAGCTGGGGACTTCTTAATGCATAATTTCTGGCCAAAAAAAAGGTGGGGGTAGATTTTGTTTTGCCAGGAAACATTTAAGAATATTCATTCTTAAGATCTAATATATACATACAATAAGCTGATCACTTAATTTGTCTTTGTGGTTACAATCACCTAATTATTTTCTCATTTGCTGTATAAACCAGAAAAAAATGTCCCTCCCAAAACTGAAAAGTGATGTATCAGGAAGAACAAATGACACAGGTTACCAGATGAGACTATACCAACATCCAAATCTCTTATATCAAGGCCAGCATGGCAGTAAAGCAATCTACATCCTTCAAAAAGGCCAACAGGTGTGAGAAATATGCCAAGGAGCTCAACTGATATGCACAAATTTGGGCAGGTTTCCAACAATGTCCTAGTAACTTCATGGCTAAATTTAATTCAAGGAAAAGATGTAAGTTGAAACAGACATAATGGAAATAAGATGTTAGCAACAAATTACATCTTCTTTCATCTTTGAAAAAATATAGTTTAACTTATTTGAACAAAGGAGATAAAGAGTAACCAGGATTTCATTTTTAAAATGTAAAACAATATTAACTTTTTGTCTAAAAACCTACTAATTTCCTAATTTTCAATTTCACAGTAAACAAAATATATTTACCAGTTTATCACCAAATTATTTTTTACAAAACCTTAAAGGGGTTTCTCTATCCCATGCTTCAACAAAGTAACTGTAATTTTAAAAAACAGGCCAGGCACAGTGGCTCACACCTGTAATGCCAGCACTTTGGGAGGCCGAGGCAGGAGAATCACTTGTACCCAAGTGTTCGAGACCAGCCTAGGCAGCAAAGTAAGATCCCATTTCTACAAAAGAATTTAAAAAGAAAAATTAGCGAGGCATGGTTGTGCCTGTCTATGGTCCCAGCTACTCAGGAGGCTGAGGAAGGAGAATCACTCAAGCCCAGGACATCAAGGCTACAGTGAGCTGTGATTGTGCCACTGCACTCAGCCTGGATAACAGACTGAGACTCTATCGCAAAACACGAAGAAATCCAGATCTTTATATTTTCCTCAGAAAACTTTCATTTCATATTAGGATCTGTTCACTGCATTTTTAAGGTCTTAAGAAAAATAATGATCACTTCACCTCTACATCTGTTCTCTGAGAAGTGATCAACTTGCCATGTCATTCTAACTGTAACTAAAGAACGCTGAAACAGCAGACTATATATTAGGATTTACCCTCTCCGGCTCATTCCGGAGAACCAGCTAGATAATTCACAAATAAGAAAAATGACAATCCACCTTTAAAACAGGGTTTAAAATAGCACACTTAGAGAAGTTTTCATGTGGCGAATCACTTTCTCACATTTTAGCTCTAAATCCAAAACACAAGTCTTTGTCACCACCATCCCTCTAACAAACCTCCGTTTCACTGCATACCTGTGGGGCTTGACTGGCTGCTGGCTTTCCTGCTCTTTTGCTACTAGATGTCCATCTCCCTGGTTGTCTCCAGAGTTTGCAGACCTTTTGGTATGAAGTAAATCATCCACTTTCCCACTATTGCAAACAATCTCAGGATATTTAAAAGCGATTTTCCCTCTCAAATAACAATGTATTTGCAAGATGTCTGACACTTTGATCTATCTGTATTTATCAACCTACTATCTTTCAGTAGGATTAATTTGCCAGGCATACAACCTTTAAAGGGAGGGGAGAAAAACAACATAACCATTAGCAGCATTTCCAGTTCCACGTTTTTCATTCTTTGCAGATCACAGTGTGTTTCAGAGATGGTAATGTAATTGAAAAACTAAACTACACTGACGGGATAAAATGTCAATATTCCTTTTAGATGTCATAGTCCTTTTCTGTGTTTCTAACAGAAATGTTGGCCCCAATTTCTCTCATAAAAGCACATTCTCAAAAGATAAATCATTCCAAAGAAAACACATCTTTTGGAACGTTCAGAGGTAAACTCTGAAACAACTGCTTTCAGAACGGGCACCCTTACAGCTCAGTTTGCCTGAGGCTGTCCTGTGTCATGTTTGTGGTCTTGGTATAACTATTAATAGCACTGTCTATAATTCTCAGAAGTGTCCCATTATGAACAATAAACTACATGCTCACCCTAGCTTTAGGTTGCATCTCCTTTAGCATTAATATAGCCATCCATTCACCTTGAACAGCCTTTAATATTTCAGAATACTATCCCAAGAAAACTCATTCCTAATAATCACGCCCCTTCCCTTCTGTCCTAGACTATAGCAAAGAACAGAAAGATCTCTGCAGATCTCGAGTGCCTTGTACTAAAGTAGGCTCTTAAGATACCCTTCTCTCACCATGGCTGACTCCCACCTAGTAATAGAAGCTTACGATAGATATCAGAAGAATATAACTACTCCCATATCCCACAACCTTTGATTCTTGTATCAAAAAAATAGGGAAAAGAAACATTCTGCATTTCTGACTATTGTACCCCTCATCGAATACTCTCATTTTTTTTTTTTTTTTTTTTTTTTT